GTACTTACAAGGTGCACGGAGAAAAGAAAAGTTTCAAGGGATCGAAACTCCAGTAACACTTGAAGTAATCAGAAGAACTTTTCTAGGGTCGTCATCGCAAAACACATCACAAGTAACATTTAACATATATAACAACCAATCATATGTGAACGCGTACATATCATCTTCAGAGACGGGCTGGGCCTGCGGTCATGTGGCTCGGGCCAATCGATGTCTCAGGCTGGTGGGGAATGTCCAGTAGAGGACACTATGTTTAGCTCATGGACTGCAGAAGTGCCAAAGAGGTGGCACCAGAAGTGCATCTAAAGGGTTGCACTTAAGTTTGTACAGAAGGGTACTTACTCCAAAATGTGTCCATTTGATGTGTCAGAGGCCAACCCACCCCAAAACACTTGGATTTAAATAAAGTGCTGTTTATTTGAAAGGAAACAAGATGCAACATAAAAACTAGTCATCATAAAAATTCATAAATAAACACAAATACACCTAAACCACTGCAAATCCAAATAATTGAGATATACTATATTACTATAAAAACTATAAACACTATAAAAAACGTGTTAATTGAATAAAGTCCTCATTCATGCCCCCTTGAAAAAACTTCTTCCTCACAGAGTCAACATTACCACCTCTTTGGCTCAATCACTTCTTAAGGCAAGAGCTAAACATGGGGCACCCATGTCCTCTATTGGATGTTCCCCACACAGCCTGAGACAACGATTGGCTTGAAACCACATGACCACAGGCCCAACCCCCTTTGAAGAAGCCCCATAGGCAGATATGTATGTGTTCACATATGATTGGCTGCTTTGATATTTTTCAGTCTCATACTTACCTTATTTAAATGTTACAATATATATATATGTATGTGTGTGTATATATATATATATATATATATATATATATGTATATATATGAAACAATACATACATATGAAACAAACTAAAACTATACTATAATATAAAGAATATTATAGAATAATTGTTTTTCCACAGGGCTGGAAGACCAAATAGATTCCTGACAAAACACAAAAGCATTTAAAAAATACTGTGATTTTACTTCTCTCACTCAAACCCTCCAAATGTCTTCAAACATATCATTTCTGTAGACTGTAGAAGTTGTATAAGAACTAACACTATATTTCAATAAAAAATACAAAGGACAAACTACACTTGATGTTCAGAGCAGCCAAATTTCTGCCTTCACTTCATCTTAATCTGTTGATTCATCAAACAGCATTGAATGCAGGAGATGAGGCTGGACAGTCAGTAGGCTCCATCCACATGTGTGTGTGTGTGTGTGTGTTGTTGTGTGTGTAGCTGTGTGTGTGTGTGTGTGTGTGTGTGTGTGCGCAACGTTACTGTTTTTGTGAGGGTGTGGCACACGGCCGGACTCTTCTGGCGAGCAAGTGCCTGCGGGATGTCACTCTGTGAGTGCACGTGTCTGTGTGCATGTGCACTTATGAGTGCGTGTGTGTGTTTGTGTGTGTGTGTGTGTGTATGCCAGTTCAATTTATGCTGGATCCTCTCCCTCTCTTTTTTTAATCTCTCCGCTGCTCTGATGCTACAGACTGTGTCCACACGAGGGCAACATCTCACCACAGACCCGACTCGCATGTGGCGTTTACATGCTTCTTTTTATTGTGTCGGTTAATGTCATTGATCCTGTATTTATCATTTATTAATGTTATTTCAACATCTTGACCTTTTCACTTGTTGTTAGCCCCTCACTCCGACACACAACACAGTGTGTACTTAAAGCAATAAAGTGAGTAACAATATAAAGCTATTACTGATCATAGTGTCTGTCTCCATACATCTGCATATTCACATACATATTTATACTTTCAAATGCCCACATTTATAAACACAATACAGAACTCATAATTAAGAGAAAACAAAGTAACAGAAATGATAATCATAGTACGAACAAAAACCTTTGATATTTCATTATATAGAGGTAGACCTGCTACTGCTACAGGTTTCTATTACAATTTCACATTGATTACTTAAATCATCTTCTCTAAACATGATCTATCCGATGTTTCATTAACAATTATATAAAGTGTAATTCATCACTTACCTTTGCTTTATTTAATTTAAAGGCCCATCTATTTTCCAGCACTTTTTCTTTCTTACTGATTTTATAAGTCACTTTTTCCATACTGTAAATGTCTTCTACTGTTTCGAGCCACGCCATTTGCATGTTTCTGATCTAGGGCTGAACAATATGCACAACAAATCATATTTTGGCAAATGTTGTGATTGTAATATTAGTCACGATTTCAGTTGGAGCCGTCATTTATACATTTAATTTTCACTGAAGAAATTATACAAAAATAATGAAGATGTTAATTACCAAACCTGCATTTTCCTTTACGTCCACTTTATTTATGGTCTGTTGTGATAAATTTGACCTTCAATTAAAAAAAAAATGAAAAAAAATGCAGCTCCTGCGACATGGATGTTGCACAATATTTGGATTCAATATTCTGAACAGTAATGAACACGAAGGGTTAAGTATCAGACCATCCAGAAGAGAAATGAACAGCTAAGAAAGACAGAGGGAGCTGACCCTGAGGAAACATTCTTGCCCTTCAAAATAAAAGCACATTAGGTAAAGTAGAGGACGCAAAGAGGGAAAACATCACCTGGAATCAAATAGAAATATGTAACTGTAAAATGTAGATGTTACATTTATACAATTAGGTGCAGCATATTTGAAAACACACAAGCTCTTCAGGAATTTATTCTGTCTGTGTTTGCATATTGTTCACTTTGTGAAAATGTTTTAGAGACAAAGAGACAAAGCACAGGAGGAAAAACTACATTTTGCTATATAAAAGTGTGTGTGGAATCACAGCTTTACATCAGTATTTGTTGTGCTGTGTTGTGTGCACTGGGATTTTACATAAGCAGCAGTTTACAGTTAGAATCTGCGTCTCAGAAAACAGCCTGTGAACCCGGGCCTGTGTTTATTTAACTGAAAGGAAAACTTTGGTCTTGACTGAAAGAACAAAATAGTTGGTTAAGAGAAGATCCTAAATGTGTGCAGTACAGAAACAGATGAACACACACCTCATGAGACATGTTCTGCAATAACTGTACAAAATATTGTTGGTCCTAATAAATAAACTGTAGCTGAAGCAGCATGTGTACTTCATTAAAAGGTGTTTTCAGCCTTTTGTTTGCCTTCGAGTTGAACATTTGATAAGATGATGCCACTTTTTATTATTTATCAGGGAGGATAACAATACAAATGAAGCTGACATCGATTCTGTTTGTAAAATCAATCAATTTCCAAATATCTTCTCTTGTAACCGTAGAGATAAATTCTCCCTCTCATATGATTTCTCTGATGTACTTTGTTGACCAGCAGCAATATCACAATATTAAGAGACTGTCAGTTTCACATGTTATTTATAACTGAAGATATGAAGGATTTCACACAAATAAAATGAACTTTAACACGTTATTTTAATTAATAACATCACTGCATAAAATGAAGTATAGATCTGATGTAGGTTGGATCCTGATCTCGGATTGGCAGCTCCTGCTCTCAGCGTACATGTGATTAACCATGTGATCACTGATCTGCTCTGAAGTTACTCAGACACTTCACTTGATAAACATGTCTCACACCCAGTAAAGACGTCTGTGGTTGGCTCTTTACAGATTTACATCTGTAGAGTTTATGAGTACGATCTCTGAGGCTGGAGTCTGTGTGCAGCTCCACTGTGGCTCACATACACACAGTCAGCCTCTCTCCCTCTATCATCACCACCTGCACAGTTACTGCATTTGGACACAAACTATTTTGATCCACAGTGGACTGAACCATGTGGCCCTTTCAGAGAGGGGGGAGGTCCCCTGAGATCCTTCAAAACAGTTTTAACACTCTTTGAAACTATTTATTTGGCCAACAACAATACTTGTAATGAATTAAAATTAAAACAAATTGTATGACACTAAAAGGTTTCTTGCCCTTGATAGTTTAGATCCAATAAACCTCTTCATCCAATCATCCAACACGTCTTTTAAACCTTTTAAACTTCTTTTATTTGTCCCCGCCGCTCGTTTTCTTTTCATTTGTGAAATGAGTTTCCAGCCACTGTCTCAGTGAAGTGTGTCAACATTTATTTCTTTGATAAAGATATATTTGTTTTTACATTTCAGTTTTTTCTTTTATTGTTTCATCTTCACTTATGGACAAAACTACAAGATCAAACTCATGTCTTGTAAAATCTTATGTGTATTCATTGAGCTTATGTTGTCAACAGAAGAAGATGAACTAAACTGTGTTGATAAGTTTTTGTCTTTTCCTGTTTTTCTTTGTGCTCAGGTGGATTTATTTTCTGTCTGTATTCTTGTGCTTTTCTTGCAGTGGAGGCTCAGTAATCATCATGTTGTATTCTACATTTATTTATTTTTTCCATTTTTCACATGTACTAAAAGTGTTCATTCTTTTCTTCTTCTCTCTCTCTCTCTCTCTCTCTCTCTCTCTCTCTCTCTCCCTCACCCTCTGTGTCAGGTGCTGGATGGTCTGTTGGCCCAGTGTGGGACTGTAGAGAACTGTGAACAAGGTAAGACCTCTGAACACCAGGCCTGTCTGAACTGTGCCCTGGTTTGTTGTGTACTGACCTCTCCTACATACACGCCTTATTATCTTACATACAGCTAACAAGTCAAGAGCAGGGGCAGGACAAATCACTCCCCCTCATCTATATACAGTATATGTGACATGTGGCACTTTGCTGCCCCCCAGTGGCAGCAGGCTGGTAACTGCTACGCTCATTCTCAAAGTTCATTTTCTCAGACTCAGACTCGCAGACACACACAGTTCAGGCTAAGTGGTGTCATTGGACCAACTGTATCTCTAGCTCAACTTTACTATAATGTGTAGAAATAATAAACCGCAGCCTGACAGGGAAACACCTGACACCTGAGGACTGCTGCTACAGATACAGATTTATTACAGCTTCAAAACATCACAGAATCTGACTGATACGAATGAAACCAACCAATTAAGATTTGCTGATTACTGAAAGAACAAAACAAACGTGAGGGACCAACAACAGCTGTGTCCTAGATCAGATCTGTAGTTAGTAAAAAGGTGCAGGAACAGAGTTTATAGGACTGATGGTAACTGTGACTGTGCAGCTGTTTGGGAATTTTAACTAAATTTTCCTGAATGAACCAGGATGAAAAATGAAAAAAGAACATGGGTGCCTGCAACTAATAATAAACTTTTAATCTTCCAATCCAAGGTGATGTCCTACAATGCATTTTATCCAACCAGATATTCAGTTCATTATCACACAAAAAAAAAGAAAAGCAGCAAATCATCATCATTCACAAGCTAGAACAAGGGACAGTTAATAAGATAATAATAATTAATTTAATACGAATAATTTCAATGTTTATTTTATTATCAAAATAGTTGCAGATGATCTTTTTGTCAATTGACTATTTGATGAATCATTTCAGCCCTAAAATAAGAGGAAGAAAAGAAAAGCTTTTTGGGTAATGAAGAAAAAAAGTGTTTTTATGTGGCATAATTGCATGAATGCATGATTTGGATTACACACCCATCTAAATATCTAATTCTATGATTAATATGAACATTGAAAAAGAGTCTAAGTTCCTGCTGCTATTTCACAAGTTTGCTAAATCTACCCTAGTGCAGTTATGCAGTAGCTGACAAACCACCAATCAGATACCAAGAAAAGAGGGTGGTGTCAAGTTAAAGGGACACACCTGTGCTTCCTCTGGAGGCCTTCTATCTCCTCTCTCCTCGTCTCCTTCAAGACACATTTAAGGGACAGGAACATGTTCAATGTCCATCATGATCCTCAATGGTTTTCAATGACGACCTTCATCAGTTTCCGAGTCACAGGCTGGAGGATGGAGGAAGCAGAATTAGCTGAAAGGAGAGGCAGCCAGTTTAAGTGGTCTGGAGCATTTGATGAGAGCCTCTCTGATGTGTGCTTGTGGGAGTGATCCAGGCACATCCAGCTCAGTGGAGACCCAGGTGTAGAACCAGTGTATCCCACTTCAATCCTCCCTCAGATGGACGGATGGATGTTTATCACTGATTCAGTTAGAGACGGCACTAGACTGTAATCTATTGATGCAGAAACCTTTAAGAAGATTGCTGTGCTCACAACACAACACTATTAATACTACTGTATATTACTATATACTATATACAATTATAATGTCACCTCCCAGTCAGTCAGATTAATCACATGAACCCATAATGCCCCAAAGTGTCTGTGAACTGGTGACAGAGGTATTTTTTGTTTTAAATACAACAACAACAACAACAATAATAATAATAATAATAATAATAATAATAATAATAATAATAATAATAATATTATTATTATTATTATTATTATTTAATGTTCTTCTAATTATTATTTAGTAATTTTCCGTTGTTCTGTAATTGTTTCTCATCTCTTCTTCCTGATATGTTAGCACACTAGACCTACTGCACTACATGCATATATTTCATCCCTCCAGTAATTTCTAATTTTTTGTTGTTACTTCCTTATTTATGCAATAAATAATTGATCCCGAAAAAAGAATGGATTGCGAAGTGTTGTGACCCTCAGCTCGAAAATTAGTGGCAATACACAAAGATCCGTTGCACAGCCTCACACTCAACACAAGATCAACTACATTAAAACAATACTATCAGCAATGTGTGGTAGTTTCCCTGTATCAAAATCAAATGAAGTTCGGTTTTATTAACTTGTGTATAGATTAATATTGATAAATGCACTTTTGATGCATTTATCATGTTGGATATTGTGGACCAGCTACAGATCGGCTGCTGCCATGAACGCTTATATATTTCAGTTATTTTCCTACATTGTTATGTGTTTGCATTTTTAAATTGTCTTTAAAATTGAGAGACAAATTATGTGTCTTGAATTGAATTGAATTCTAAGATGCAGAAGACTAAAAAAATCCAATACCGGAGAACAAGTCTCTGCTGTTTCTGGTCCAATGCTGTTATTTAATGGCAAAGCCAAAGTTCTACGTGCATTAATCAGCAATATCACAATTAGTAATAACTAACTTAAATGTGGAATAGTTGAAACAAAAGTTAAATTTGAAAAAAAGAGCTCTGACTCATTATTGCAACGTCTTATTGTTCTGAAGACATGTCAGGATTTTACATGTTGCTTGTGTGTGTATTTGTTCATTGTGACCAATGTGACACCAGAGTTCAGTCAACATTATGATTAAGTAATAATAGATAATAAATAATAATCCTGCTGTGGTCACCCAGTGAAGACAGATGAATCCTAGTCTTTATGGATTATTAAACCAAGGTGTGTGTCTCTGTGTCTCTCCTCTCTCAGTGAACACAGACAGTGAGACTGCAGTGGTTAATGTCACATATGCATCCAGGGAGCACGCCAGGCAGTAAGTTCCTCCACACTCACGCTCTCTGTATTTCCCACTTCGTCTCTTTCTGTCACTGTGTTAAAAGTCTTTGTTTGACATTTTAAAGAAAATGACAAAGTGTATTTTAGAGGGATTTGTATATTCATGAACTTCATGTTGTGTTCTTTTAGAAATGTGACATGTGAGATCTGTGTAGACACTCAAGATAATTTAAAAAAAGTCATTCATAAATATCCAAAGTTCCGATATACAAGTAAAGATGTGTAGATAATTATATAATCATTTATCAGAGTGAGTGTCTGAATAAAACTGCAGTAACAGCAAGTTGTATGTTTTAAGCTCCACTTGTGACATCTAGTGGTCGTTTAAAGGAACTGCAAAGAGAAATAAGAGCTTTTCTTTTTCTTTTCTCAGTCTCATCTCGTCATGACATTGACATCAGTAAAAATACTGCACTATAAAAAAAATCTCTCACAAGTAAAAGTCCTGCATTCACAGTTTTACTCGAGCAGATTTACAGATATGAGCGGCAAAATGTTTTTAATCTGTAAAAGTGTCAATCAGGCAACAGAATGTCCAGTGTTTTATTCTATTACTGGATTATACAATATTTCTATACAACTTCATATACTGTTGAATAGTTAAATAACCACACATTTTATCAGCTGATTGTATGTTTAACAAGTAACAGCAGCTGTCAGGTAAACACAGTGAAATAAAAAACACAGTGGTTACTAGGTTAGGTTACTTGTGTTTAAGTTACAATAAGGAACAAGCTAGATGTGTGTGTCTTCAGTTTCTTGTCAACATAAGCTCATAATGTAGTATTAAATATATGATATTGAATATGATATTACACTTTTATTACTCTTTTGATGGACACTATTATTATTCTGGATAACTAAGTGGAAAACGTCCAGCAGCACATATTTCCCCCTCATCTCACTTCCATTTAATGTGTTCGCCAACTTATTAATCAATCAATCAATCAATCAATCAATCAATCAATCAATCAATCAATCAATCAAACTCTATTTGTATAGAACTTTTCATACAGGTTAGTTCAAGGTGCTTCACAGAAAAAATGACAAATCAAATAAGAAATCTGACAATGAGAGACAATAAAATAGATTTTAAAACTTTAATAACATTAACAAACAGAGAAACAAAAAACTGCTTATTAACCGTAGACTCAGTAAAACTTGGTGAGATTGTGACACTGTGAGTTTGATAATAATCCTGATCATTATAACTGAACAAAAAATAAAAAATAAAAAGTTTTGTATTGTCTATATAAAATGTGTAGGGTGTCACCTGTATGAATGACAAACTGCTGTAATGATCTGGTGTTGTCTCTCTCTCAGAGCCATCCAGAAGCTGAACGGATACCAGTTTGAGAACAACGCCTTGCGCGTCTCCTACATCCCCGACGACATCTCTGAGCTGGAAGGTCAGCGGGGGCCAGACAATGGCCGTCGCCCTGGCTACGGGCCTCGCGGGCCCCGTGGTGGGTCCCCGAGCTCCGGGATGCCCTCCAAACCGCCGCACGCCGACATCCCTCTGAGGCTGCTGGTGCCCACACAGTACGTCGGAGCCATCATCGGCAAGGAGGGGGCCACCATCCGCAACATCACCAAGCAGACGCAGAGCAAGTGAGTGCAGAGTGTATCTGTGTGTGTGTGTGTGTGTGTGTGTGTGTGTGTGTGTGTGTGTGTGTGTGTGTGTGACATATATTCAAAAATAGATATGGTTGTTTTTCAGAAAGAAAACAAGAATAGTTTTCACTGCGTAGACAAACACACTCCTAGAGTCAGTCTGGGCCAGGGAGATGGTTGATGCTGAGGGACTCACGTCATTTGGGAAAAGGAGGCAATAAAACCACTGATTTGACACAAGACTTTGTCAAATAGACATTACTCTGACAGTGAAGGCAGCCGTACCTCAGAGCTGGAGTTGAGTCATTTATGAAGTGTCCGACACTGACTTTCACCAGGAGGAGAAAGTGAGACAAAGTAGAAACTATGATGACGTATTATGACACTTGTGTTGTGGGGCATAAGTCAAAAAATAAAGAAAACAGCAGACTTGACAGACCTTTAGTAAACACTGACAGGCCACTCTCATTTCTTAGAAAGTATATGCGGAGTAAAATTTGACCTATTGTCCTTTTCATCCAATCCAACTGTTTTACAATGCTTAGTCAACAACTTGGATCTGATGTACAGTTCTGTAAGTGCAGCAATGATGGTGTAAACCCTGTGTGGTCTGGGCAGGTCTGGGGGAGGGTCTCCAGGGAGATCAGGGAGTCTTATACTTCATGTCATGCAGGTAAACTACAGAGGACACAGAAATGTAAGACTATATCTATGACACACAGAGCTTTTTTCGTCTTGTCGACCACTCAAAGTGCTTTATACTACAGGCCATTCACACTCACACTCATACAACTATAAGAGGCAATTTGGGGGTTAGTATCTTTGACATGTGGACTTGGAGGAGGTGGGGATCAAGCCACCAACTTTCAGTTTAGTGGAAGACGCCGCTGTGCCTCCTGAGCCACAGATGCCCCATTTGCCCCCCTTTACTCCCTTTACTATTTGTAAACTTGTGATGTGTGACGTGCATCTTAAAATCATCAACACATTAATACCTTGATACACATTAATGTGTCAGTACAGTACGCACAAAGAACTGGCCTAAAACAACCGGTCCACTGGGATTTCTCCCACTTACCACTGCATCACTGCAGACATTAACCTTTCATTTTTAAAGATGTGATTTACAGTACACAACAGAACTGAGTACACCCCCGGTGCAACATCACTAACATGCTAAATAATTCAAAACAGCATCGGCTTAGTAAGAAACCAGATTGAGAGACAGAGATGGGGAAAACGTACAAGAGCACCAGCAGGCTACTGACCATGAGCTACACACAGCCGCTGCAGCGGTGAGGACGTTTGGGAAGAGCCGTACGACCAATGACAGAAGACGCAGTGGCCGTCGTTCAAAATATGATGTCACCCACCATTTACTGTTTACACAACCTCGCACTGAAAAACAGACGGGTTAGTGTTTGTGACCTGACACTAGGATTCAGTCACTGATCCGACAGTGAGGAGGACTATCGAAAGTGCTGGAGAGAACTCTGCTGAATACATGTATCAGGTATAATCAGTCTGGTTTAAAAGGTAAACGTGGCACTGATGTGTATTTTTACCTTGTGTATGGGCAGAATTTCACAATTTTTCTATGTTTAATTGATGCTTCTGAAGCTTCTGACTATAAAACTCATGAAAAATGAGAGGAAAAACCAGAAGAGAAGTTCCTAGATTCCCCGTGAGATCCCTGTGTTTCTGGTGCACATGAGACTATGCTCCTGTACGTAGCTGTTTGACAGATGTCTTATGTGGGTCCTGGTCTCGATTATTGTTCGACAGAGTGGTTTTTTTTAATCTCCTTTTCTTTTTAACATATCTACATATGATCTGTCAGTGGAGGTAAACAGATGTGGAGCAGGTTGTTCAACCACTTTGTCTGCGGATTATTTGGTGACTTTCTGTCCATGTAGCGCTGCTCTTTTATCAGTTATTCAAGGTTTGTTCACAAAAGATATAATGTGAGTAACAATAATATTATGATTGTAATGAGTTATGGAGCTGTTCTTCCTGTATGATATTGATATGATATTGTCTTCGTGGTGTGTAACATAACTGATGATTCATCAGAAGAGAAGGACATTTGCAGACGGTATTGAAACGGTTGGACAGATGTTGGCTCATTCACTGGCTTCAGAGAAAGTCAGGAAACAGAGACTCACAGCCAAAGCCACATGTTTGTCACCTTGCTCCGCTGTCAAATGAAACCATATATATCTATAGATGAACTGTATGTGTAGGTTTGTGCATCTGCAGATGATATATAACCAACCCTGAACTGACCTCTGTCAGGTTCTTGCCTACTGTCATTCTCTGTACGAATATCTGACCATTGTGGATGCTTTCGATTTGTTTTTCATTTTTTTTTCTTAGACTGTATTTATTTATCGATCGATTGGTTTATTTGGTATAGATTCTTTCATCCTATGAGCTGTGTCTTTTAGTATTTGAATTTAACTGAACTGAATGAACCTGAATGAAATAAACCGTGATATCTTAATCATTTTCCCCGTTGCTGCAGGATTGATGTTCACCGTAAAGAGAACGCAGGTGCTGCTGAGAAGCCGATCAGCATCCACTCCACCCCCGAGGGCTGCTCCGCTGCCTGCCGCATGATCCTGGACATTATGCACCAGGAGGCTAAAGACACCAAAACGTAGGTTTCAAACAATGACTAAAACAGTGTCACATGATCCTGGACACGGTTTTTAATTCTTTGTCTGTGTTGTCAGTTTTTTTTTTCAACGAGTGAAACGTTGGTGCTTTTTGTTTTGTGCAGAGCTGATGAGGTTCCTCTGAAGATTCTGGCTCACAACAACTTTGTGGGACGCCTCATTGGGAAGGAGGGACGCAACCTGAAGAAAGTCGAGCAGGACACAGACACCAAGATCACCATCTCCCCGTAAGACACACACACACACACACACACACACACACACACACACACATACACACACACTGAACTCACTGATTTTTAAAGACCAAATTCAACCTCGTGAATCAGTTTATTGGACATGAAGTTGATTTATGAGATAGAAAAATCGAACTCACTTTAAGATACTGATCACTGATCAGTTTTATGTATCAGTAACGACCCCTCTGGGATGTGCACAGGCTCCAGGACCTGACGCTGTACAATCCAGAGAGAACCATCACAGTGAAAGGCTCTATTGAAGCCTGCTGCCTGGCCGAGGTGGAGATCATGAAGAAGGTCAGGGAGGCCTACGAGAATGACATTGCTGCTATGAATGTGAGTACACACGCACACACACACACACGCACACACATGCACACACACACACACACACACACACACGCACGCACGCACGCACAGATGCACACACACTAAATTGAAATTGTTACTATCACTGATCATGACTGAGTCTGAAGCTTTCATTACATGTATTTGTCCTCCTCTCTGAGCGGCCATTATTTTCTAAACTTAAAACATTTGAGTTTCCAACACACTCACACTTCAAACCTCTTCTCAGACCTCCATGTTTTCCACGTCTCTCTCTAACCTGTGGTCTTCTCCACAGCAACAGACCCACCTGATCCCTGGTCTCAACTTAGGTGCTCTGGGCCTCTTCCCCTCTTCCTCCAACATGCCCCCACCCCCACCTGGAAATGCTGTCTCTGGTGCCCCCTATGGCTGTTTTGGGGTAAGAATATTTGCTGAGTACAAACCCCCAGAGGGCAACATCTGTCTGTATCACTGGAAGGACCTGTGGGGTTTTTTTAAGCTTCTCAAACCAGAGTCCAACATGCGTGGCCGCCAAACAGAAAATTAGTACTAATATTATTATATAAAGTTAGTAACTCAACACTATGATTGTCATGATCTGCCCCTGTGATGACTGCGTTTGCACTTTGTATATATGATTTTCTGTTTTATTTTGAAATTATTTTCCCTGTGTCCAGTTACCTGTGCCTTCCTTATGTACTTAATGCCAGACTTACGCCAAACGATTCACCTTCTTGTGCCTCCCCAGAGTCGCCTCCGTGCTCACTATCATCTCTGTTTAATGCTTCCTGTCTGGAGCTGGAGATGTCTATCCTGACATCAGTCAGAGAAGAAGAAATATCAGTGTGGACACTATTTTAAGTAGTCAGTTGTCTATGTTTGTGTGTATTGACTGTTTTCTAGAGCAGCGCAATGAAAGTTTGGTTTTAGGTGGATTTTCCATTTCCACTTCTGGATCACCCCTCAGATTATGATACACCGTTCCTGTCTAACCACGTCACAGTTCTTCATTCAGGACAGATTATTTGTATGTTTCTTAAATACTGACCGAAGTCTCAAACAGACATTCAGGTTGTGTAATGAAGTGTTTGCTTTGTGCGTCTTCAGGCTCCAGAGCAGGAGACGGTCCACGTCTACATCCCAGCGCAGGCTGTGGGAGCCATCATCGGAAAGAAGGGACAGCACATCAAACAGCTGAGCCGCTTCGCCGGGGCCTCCATCAAGGTCTGTACTTTACCAGGAGTTTACAAAACCTGCCACAGGTTGGGTCGAGTAGGGTTTCCACATACGAGGAATTTGCTTTGGTGTTTTTTTTGTGCATAACAACAAACACAGTAAGAAGAAGAAACATCAACAGCTTTGTGAATTCTTCTGCCTGTCACACTGTACATACGACACTAGGGCCGTTGAACTTGCTGAGACAATTCAAAGCTTTAGAGGGCGGTGTACATGTGTTGTGTGTCAAAAAAATTCTTAGTAAAAACCAGGAGTTGGAGGCTTTGTTTAAAGACGCTACATGTACCTGTACCTGTCAGTGCTGACTGCAGTGACTCCTCAGTGTTGGAAAATAAAGACTACAATCATGTCTACCCACATCGCCCTCTCTCAGCTAGTAAACAAGCCTCCAGAGGTGACATGTCAGAGCTGCGTCATGGTGAAGTCTACCCATCAGACCCTCCCCAGAACTCGTCTGGTACAGCACCAGGCGGTCCTGGGTGTGTTTTCCACACGACTTGAACGGACGGCTCTGGGTGTCAAGTGAAAAAATACAGAGTGTAAAAGCAGCATTGTAAACAACATGGAGTAATTAAAACATACTCCACATGATTTGTAGTGCTTGAATCCAAATAACAGTGAAATACAGAAAAGGTGCTGAAGTGTGTCTGTCATGACTTCAGAGCTGTGAGGAGATGAAATGACAGTATAATTAGAGCTCAAACTTTGATACTTTCATGGACCAACTGAATTGTTTTGATACCATCGAGGATAGAAAAATGTCTCGTCATTCAATACCTAAGGAGTAAATGTGCAAATGTCATCAGGGCCGGTGAGCCAATCGGCATGCAGCATGCTCGGACCAAGATCTAATAATGCTGCTGATTGGCTGTTTATTTACATGAACATGTTTGAGTGTGTGAAGAGACCGAGCTTAAAACTAAAACTAAATTAAAAGTAATATTTGTACAGTAATGTGTGATGTCATTTTCTTTTTGTTAAAATAGATTTGACAAAATTGGTATCAAAAAAGTATCGCACTGACAGTATTAGTAATGACATCTAAAATATAGCATTTCTATCACCTGCTGTTGTGAGATTCTGCCTGCAATCCATTAACCCTGGTTTCCATTTTATTTTAATTTAATTATGTATGTTTCAATTTATAAAGCTTATAGAGTATAAAATATATTCCCAACAGTTATATTGACAATATCGGTATCTTCTTCATGGGATGTTATTCATAAAAATTCTAAATGTCTTTTATTAAATGATCATTAATGATCGATCTCTCCTCTTCTAGATCGCCCCAGCTGAAACTCCAGACTCTAAAATGAGGATGGTGATTGTGACAGGACCCCCTGAGGCTCAGTTTAAGGTAAACACTAACAGGACGTTGGCAGCTGTAATGATAATTACATGTCTTCTCAGCTGAGACAATAATAAAATGGACTATGAACCTCTTTGTCGCCCTCCTTCAGGCTCAGGGCAGAATCTATGGCAAACTGAAGGAGGAGAACTTCTTCGGGCCGAAGGAGGAGGTCAAACTGGAGACTCACATCAAGATGGCTGCCGCCGCTGCAGGGAGGGTCATTGGAAAAGGAGGCAAGACAGTAAGTTACCTGAACCTTACACTTCAGTCTCCTCTTCTTTTAATAGCAAGCTTTGATTGCTGCAGTAACAACTCTGTCCATGAAGCGTTGGCGACCCTCCACCTTTCTGCCATCAAATCTACAACACTCCTCGGCCTCCTAAAGTGACCAAACTGTGTGTCTCCAGGTGAACGAGCTGCAGAACCTGACAGCAGCTGAGGTGGTGGTCCCCAGGGAACAGACGCCTGATGAAAACGACCAGGTCATCGTCAAGATCAACGGACATTTCTATGCCAGCCAGGTACTCCTCCCACTCTGCTCCTCATGTTTCACTTTTCCACAGCTGACAGTTACTGCAGCCGCGAGGTTTCTGGCGTCTTCCCCCCCAAACTATGGCAACATTAGCCTGCTAGTCTACTACTTCACTATAAAATGACACCACTCTGTCAGGGGCATATTGGACTGACATTTAAAGCTGTAGCTAGTTACTATAACATCCCAGATACAGCTAAAAAATAATGAATGTAAAACACATTAGTTTTTTTTTTTTAAATACAGTAATGTTTCTGCCTTTAAACTTTTGTCCAACAGGCTATAAAACGATGCTAATCAGGGCTAATTTGTAGCTATGGCTAGCTTACTAGTTACAAAAATGAAAGTTACAGTATGTCAGTAACAAATGTCATGCATTTGGCTTCCCTGGCTTGACTCTTGACAAGTTTTTCTTTTACCCTTTTCCCACCAAAATGAGTGACCGCAGTGTAGCTGTAGTGTTTGTAGTGACAGGTGTTTTTACACTGTTAGATGTTACAGCTCAGAAAAGGGGCGTGCATGTTGTTGATGTTGTTGTTGTGTTTACATCAATGCCGACCGGAGCCGGAGCCGATAAATACCAGCGTCTACTGCAGAGCCATTTGACCCGGGTGTGAACGCCAATTGTTCCCTTTTCCATTGCAGACAAAAGCCCGATGTTAGGAGGTCTTAACGGGTTTTTTGACCAGGGGTATTTTGGTGGCCGGCCACGCATGGTACACCTGTAGTGCACTTGTAAACCTGGTGGGATCAGAAAAAATACTGTAAACATGTTAGAACGGTGGCTTATTTACACAGGTGTCCACCTGACAAATGTACCCACTCTATTTTATCTCCGTTTTGCTCTACACAAACTTTACCTGTCTACCTTTTGCTGCTGGTACAGATAAGTCATATTTTTACTCTGGATTATTGCAGCCACAAACCATCCTCATCTCTCCTCTGTCCTCCAGCTGGCTCAGAGGAAGATCCGGGACATCCTGACCCAGGTCAAACAGCCACAGAAAGGCGGGATGGGCCCCAGCCCTAATCCCCAGGGCTTCACAGAGATGGGCAGTCCTACACAGGGTCTGACTCAGGAGCACCAGCCACGCAGGAAGTGAGGGTCCCCGCATCCTCCTCAAACGCCGTGGGGCACCCCCTGCCTGACGGACAGACAGACAGACAGACACATGCACGGACGCATAGACAGACGGACGGATACAGGAGAGCGACACACGGACCCAGCGATAGACAGGGAGAGATATAAAGAGGGAGGGAGTACGCCCGATAGCCAGAGAGAAAGATAGGTGTTTAGAGAAGGAGAGATGAATAAAATCAAAAGATGAAATGAATAAAAAAGAGGATTAAGATTAAAAGAAACTTGAGAACAGAGACCAGATGCCAGGCCAGAAGAGACACTGATTGAAGATGGAGGGATAAAGGAAAAGAGGGACGGAGAGAGGGAGGGGTGGTGTCCTCCTAGTGTGCCTTGGTAGGGCTGCAGCCAGCTCCTCGTCTGTTGAAACTTTGAACAGATCCTGCGTCAGACAGGTTTAAACAACACGCGACAACATTATTCACCCCGTAAGGTGGAGCCTTACTGCTGTTGTTTACACCTGTCCACATGGGTTCAGATCTGGTGCAGAGGGCTGAGGCTGGCTCCACAAATCTGTGTTTCCTCAGACACACTAGTAGGGGCCCATTTACACCCTCTGCTGCCTCCTACAGACCTCTCCAACCATCTGCAGTCAGTCCTATATTTTAAGGGTGGTTTTTTTTAAACATAGAGATATATGTATAGAAATGTTTTATTCAGAGCTATTATTGATAATATGCAGTGAGGCGGAGCCGGGAGAGGGAGCAGGGGAAACTGCTGCAGAGGCACAGAGGGATAGGTCACAGGTCTGGCACTAGCCCCACCCACCCCTAACCCCTGAGCCAATGAGAGTCTGGAAGAGGGGCCGCAGATGTTAACACTGCTCTTTAAAGACCTCTCTGAATAGCGGAGAGATTAGAAAAAAAGAGAAAAAAAGAAGAAAATATGAGGTTGTAAATATATAATCTTCATGTAAATGTTAAGAAATGCTGCGTCTGGCCGCCTTGCCTTTCTTTCAAAGGGGTCCTCCGTATATTTCCCAGCCCCTCGTCTATGAAATGTAGCATACTGTAACCTACAACAGGGCCCGGGGCTGGGGAGGCACTGAGCACCCCCCTCCACATTCAGCTGTGTGGCGGAAGGCGCAGCAAGAGACAGTAAGGGGAGCTGAGGTCGCAGCTGGTCCTGCAGTTCTATTGCAGCGGCTTAGCTCACACATGTGAAACCTTTATGAAAACAACTGTAGAAAAATGCCAGCAGCTATGCTAGCTGGCTAGCGGCCCGCACCTTAAATGGCATATTTTATATATATTATATATATATGATATGTGAGTTAGCCCGGCCCCTCGGGTGAATGTATTGAAGGCAGGGAGTCAGGTGTGAGGTTTCGCTACACCTGTATGAAAAAGTCCTGCAATGACAGACAGACAAGGTGTGTCTGAGACTTTCTGCTCATTGCCTTCTTCTAGCGCTGGACACTCAAGGCCAGTCTTGGACAGAGAGGATGGGGTTCTCCTCAGAAGAGCTGAGGTCCTTAAGACCATCCCTGCATTAAAGCCATCTTTGGCCTCTAATGCTTAGAGTAGTACAGGAAGTCTGAGGCTGGCCTTGGCTGAGCGCCAGAACCAAATAAATAAATAAGGCGAAGTCTTCCAAAGCTCCTTGCCTTGAGCTCAGAGAAGGTAAAATCAGACTGAAGGGGAGCGGCTTCCTCGTTCTCTCTCCCAATCTGCCGAAGGCCTGTGGGCGGAGCCTCCAGACCCTGCCTGCGTATGATAATGAGGGGCGGGGTCTACACCTGGACACTCTCGCCAAGATTAGAACAGATTAGAGAAGAAATGAAAAAGAAAAAAAACTACCTCAGGGTAAATTTACCTCAGTATTCCTAACTTTTTTTTGCTTGCTGGTGTTTTATATGAGAAGAAAAAAAGAAAAGAAGAGCTGATAGTCCTGAATATTCTTATTTTTTTAAGGAAAAAAGTATTTTTTTTTAGGTATTGTCTTGTTGCTTTGGTTATTTTTTTCTGTTTTTTTTTTTTCTTTTCTTTTTTTTTGGTGTGATGATGGTTGAATGAGCTCAGGATAAAGAAGAGGCAGTGTTGAGATGAAACGCTGAGAGGAAATGGTTGAGTGCCATTTTACCTTTTTTTTAGGTGAAAAAAACACGCCTTCTGTCTTCCTGAAGTGTGATTGGAGCAGCCATTTGGCCAATGGGGAGTGGTTTAAACTCGAGAGGGGGTCCTAAAGTGCACACGGTGACCGAACATGCCACTGGGGGTCTCTTTTTACTGATCTTACGTCATCATGGGGGGGGGAGGGTGTGGGGGTGGGGGGGTGTAACTAATGATTTTGACCATACAGAATGACTGGCACATTCACACAACCTCATCCTCAGGTCGCATTAAGTCACTGCGAGTCCCTTTTCTTGTGGCTGCTGGCCCACCTTGAAGGACCCTCCTCTCCTGCCTTATTGTGATGACATCATCATGACGCTCCAAACATTATGATAGGGCTTTAAGTGTTCAAAAATGACAACAAAGAGGTGATTCACATGTGAAAGTGAGCTTTAAAAGCCAAATTCCACCTTTTCTTTTGTTTTTTATTTTTATTTTTTTAACCTTTCTCACCTGGAGGTCGGCAACTTGTCAGATCAGAGTTGTGTTGAATGCAGCAGCAGCAGCAGCAGCAGCAGCAGCAGCAGCAGCAGCAGCAGTAGTGATCCATCTACAGCATAACTGTACATGGAAACAGGAGAGGACATTCTACCTACACACCTCTACCTACACACACATGCCTGAACTCGCTTCTCTGAATGTGAATATTTATAACCTGTGCACTGACCATGACACCTCAGATGCTCCCTTTTGGCTTACATGAGTGTATGTGCGTATGTGTGTGTGTGTGTGTGTGTGTGTGTGTGTGAAAGTGAATACAGGTGTGTTTGTGTTCACTGGTTTTAAATGTTCATTTTTGTCAGGGGATGTGGTGAAACTTATAAAAAAGCAGAAAAAAGTAGGACGAGAACCTATGGCCCTCCGTCTGTGTGCCACCTGACCGAGGACGGAGATTTATCCAAGAACCTTTTAAAAAAAAAAAAAAATGGGAGAAAAAAAAAAAAAAAAAAAGCAAGAGAGTTTAAAAACAACAATAACTCAGCTGAATAATAGATTAAAACCTGTACATAAAATGTTCAAAAAAATAAGATCACAATACTTTTGTATTTTTGGAGAAAAAAAACGCGTAAAAAATCGAAATGGGAAAAGCCGTTGAGAGAGGAAAGATTGCGCCAAGTCACTGAAGGACACTGCCAGATAACTCTAAATCTTTTTATTGTCTTACCTGCGCTCGGCGACATACAGTACACCTGACATACAACCCTACATCGGCTACCCCACCAGCTCACCATCAGACAGGGAGAAGTCTATTCTAATGTGTCTATGCTTCCATTTTTGTCCAGAGGCGGTAACTTCACAGCGCAACACTACGGAAGCCAAGAAAGGCATACTACTCGCAAATATATATTTGTTGTTATCCCGAGATAACGAGATATTAACAAGATATTATCAGGAGAAAACGTTTTGTTTTTTGTTATCCCGAGTGTTACTTGTGAAGTGTATGAGGTTCAGTCAAAATGATTTTCTTCTGATAATATCTCGTTATCTCGGGATAACTAGCTTTGTTATGTTGAGATAAGAGGATAAAAGAATAATTTGTGAGTATGGCCTTTCTCTGCTTCCATTCAACACAGTTTGTCCTGTGTTAAGTTTCCACCTCTTTCCCAAACCATAGAGCTCTGTTCACGACCACCAAGACATTTAGGATTCGTTATTCAGCCTGCAGCCATTTGGATCGGTTCGGTTCGGATTCATGTGTTTTTTTTTTATTTTCTTTTTGGTTTTTATTTGGTTTTGACAATACAGCAAGCTTTATTTGGACGTGACATCTGGGGACGTACTGTTGCACTAATTGATGAAAATAATGTCGACAACGTCAAAACTATCGAAACGACTGAGAACCTCCTGTAACACCTGATGCAGTTCCTTAAAGAAAAAAAAAAGGGTGGAGAGTGACGGGAGGAGAAGGAAGGATATAGGAGGAGGGGAGGAAGGAGGGGAGGTGGTCAGACATCTTGGGGATGATGGGATGTGTTGAGAAACCTCTCCTTCCCAATTCTATCAGCAACTAAATCCCACCATCTCTTCTCCTACTTCTCCTCCTCCTATCCTCTGTACTCTAGGAGAAGAGTGAGATGTTTTTATTTACTTTTATTACGAAAAAAAAAATAAAAAAAAGATCATTTCATTTTTGGAGCGGGCAGGAACGTCAGGGTCCCTCGCCCTCTCTTGCGCTGGTCTCCACCGTGTTCGTTTCGCTCACTTCTGTTCAAAAGACCTTTTCGATTTCTTACTTTAACCACCTTTTTTTTCTTACTATCGTTCTGACTCTTTTTTTTTTTTTTTTTTTTTTGGAAAAATGAAAAATAGTTGGATTTGATAATGTTTTGTTCTTTTTGTTTTTGAATGCACAAATAACAAAAAAAAAAAGCAGTTACTTAAATACGATGAAGTACTAACACGTGGTACATGACGGTAACTGTGCCAAACACACGGGAAGGGGCTCAGTCCAAAATGCAGTGTGGAGCCATTTTGAGCAAATAACTTACAAATACTGAACATAAGGTCTTAAGATAATTTCAGTCATACTTCAGAATGAAAGTTACTACATTCAAATGGTGGTATCTCATCTTGGAACTGAACTCCTCTCATCTTGTTTTTGTATGTACAGTAGAGACAGTAGAGAGAAAACATTGTAGGGTCGTTGTGTCTCCAAAGACACACACACACACCATGCTACCTGTGGCACTAAGAACCGCTCACATCAATCTTAGCCTGCACCCTGACAGGGACAGAAATCAGCCATTTCTGGGCCCCAAAGTGATACTGTCCTTTTATTTTATTCAAGTTGAGTGATAAGTTGTATCAGCGAGTGGACAGAGTTTGGCAGTGTGAGGTACCACACAGTGTA